TCTCTCTCTCTCTCTCTCTCTCTCTCTCTCTCTCTCTCTCTCTCTCTCTCTCTCTCTCTCTCTCTCTCTCTCTCTCTCTCTCCTACTCGCGTTCCTTCTCCTCCTTCTCCTCCCTCCCTCTTCCTCTCGTCTTCTTCTGTTTCTCATTCTCTCCTCTCCCCTCCTCCTCCTCCTCCTCTCCTCCTCCTCCTCGCCCTCCTCCCGCTCCTCCCGCTCCTCCTTCTCCCCTTGTTGTTCTTGTCCAGAATTTTTGCCGTTACCAAAAGCAAGTCGACATTTTGCGACGACATATTCTTCAATCCCCTGAGTTGATGGTCTTCCTCCTCCTCCTTCTCCGTCTCCTCCTCCCGTTTCCCATCCTCCACCCATTTCTCCTCCTTCTCCTCCTCCTCCTCCTCCTCCTCCTCTTCCTCCACCTCCTCCTCCTACTACTTCGTAATTTGGTTTTGTGTCTCGTCTTTCGTCATCGTTTTTCGGATGACGTCATCAGAAATCGGCGCAGTCCGAGCGTTTGACAAATCTCCCTTTGATTCGCGGCCTTCTCTCCGCGTTGAGCTTGCGAACCTCATACCTAATCTTCTTAGAGAAGTGTCTTGTTCTCCTCTTCTCCCTGTACCTCAGTACCCTGGCCTCTCTTGCCAGACTGTTCCCTTCGTCGCCAGGAGGCATGACGTTGGGCACCATACCGTACTCAGGCGCTTGGGTTCCGCCGCCCTCATCGGCAGAACCGAGGTGCAAGTCTGGAACCAAACCGAAGTCCAGATTCACGAGGAAATCCATCTGGTCTGCATCTGGTACGGTTTGTGGGCGTTTTCCATCCGACCAGAAGTTCCCTCCGGACCAGGCACTGAGTACATCTGCATAGTCTAGCCTCAGGAACGACGAGGATTTCCTCTGCTTACGTGGCGGCTCCTCCTCCTCCTCGCTCCTCTCCTCCTTACACGTCAGATCGGTTACCATCGATGTGGAATTGCAGTTCTGCTGATTGGAGTCGAACACTGTCACGCCCGTGTCACACAGCGGCTCAGGTACAACTGCTTCTTCTTCCGCTCTCCCTCCTCCTCGTCCTGCTGCTGCTCCTGCTGCTGCTCCTGCTGCTGCTGCTGCTGCCCACGCTTCTCCCACTGGCACGCTGCACACTTGGTCCTGCGAATTGCTGACATTGGCCCTCAGATGATGCCCCTTCGTCGAGCTATGGTGGTGATGATGAGCTGGCAATTGAGGAACGTGATGATGATGAGCTGGCAATTGAGGAACGTGATGATAATGAGCTGGCAATTGAGGAACATGATGATGATTGCTGTCGAGATGGTGGTGGTGGTGTCGGCTATGGTGGTGCTGGGAGTTGGCACGGTCGCGACTGCGTGGCAAAGTCGGTACAGATCCGGCGGATACCAATCTGGCGTTGTTGAGTTCGTGTGCGGGGACAGACTGCTGCTGATGTCCCGCTTCTTCGTCGTTGCGCTGCCGCCCTCCTCCTCTCTGCGCCGCACTCCCGTGTGTCCTTCGGTAGGGGTACTTCTCTGGTTCTTTTTGCTGTTGCTGGGCGTGCTGGTGACGATACGGATGCTGATTGTGGCTATGGTGATGATGAAGGTGATTATGTCGATGGTGGCTTCGAATGTGGTGTCGGCTAGGCACAGTGCCGATGCTTGCATCCCGAGTAGGAGCACGAGCAAGGTAAGGAGGAGGTGAAGGACGATGATGGTAACGATAATGCTGAAGGCCCACGCTGGCGTTTGTGCTGGCGGGCTTGGAACTAGAGACAGTGGGAGCGAGCTGTTCCCCTTCCTCCTCCTCCTCCTCCTCCTCTTCCTCCTCCTCCTCCTCTTCCTCCTCCTCCTCCTCCTCATCCTCATCCTCCTCATCATCGTCATCGTCATCGTCGTCCTCATCATCATCATTCTCCTCCTCCGCCTCCTCTTCCGCTCCCCACCCTCTGTCAGCCACCACCCTCTCCTCGTCTCCCTGCTCCATTTGCGTTGACGACAACAAGGTTGCCTCCATAGCCATTGTTGCCTCGTCCTGCTCCGCCGGTTCCTCCTTCACCTGCACGACGGCTATGGAGGTCAGGAACGAGGCGACGGACTGCTCCGTCGTCGGCGACGTTCCCGCCTCCGCAGCCTGACAGAAGTCGATCGATGAACTACTTCTCCTTCCCGCCGCCGCCGCCATCGCCGGCGAGCTGTCCGCTATGGCTGCCGCCCGATGGTCCAGGACGAAGGACGACGCCGCTTCCAGCGAAGCATTGGTGGTGGTGGTGGCGGTGGTGGTGGTAGTGGTGGTGGTGGTCCCCACTTCGCTGCTCCGCAAGCAATCTGACAACTCTGCTTCCAGCTCCATTGCGAACACGTGGCCATCCGGCACTTGCATCATACCTTCGTCGTCTATGTCCAGCGAGCAGAGCCTGACAATCCCTCCCACGTGACCAATCAAGTCTATGTCGCTGTCAATCTTGCGCATTCCCGGTTCTCCTTCCACGTTGAAGAAGTCGGCGGTGCTGCCGTGCTCCCCGTCGTCTTCTCCGTCGCAAGCTCTGGATATGGCTGCCATAGCCAGCGCTTTTTCCATATCCACACAGTCCAATACAGCCGAGCAGGAAGAGGGACGCCTGCGATGGAGGTCTCCCTGGTGATGCCCTCCTCCTCCTCCTCCTCCTCCTCCTCCCTGGCCCTGTTGATTCTCCCCGTTGCCAGCACCACCATTACCATCCTCTCCCGCTCTTCGCTGGGGATTTGCCTGAGGAGGATACGTTGATGAACAAGTGTAATTCGCCATCGCCACATCTTCGGTGCAGCAAGAAGCCAGCGGACTCAGCAAGACGCTGTGCTCGCATCCAGATCTCAATCCAACCAACACGTCCTCCTCCCCTGCTTTCTCTTCTTCTCCTCCTCCTCCTCCTCCTCCTCCTGCTGCTGCCGCTGCCGCTGCTGCTGCCTCCCGTAGAGCAGCGGATGTCCTTCGACCGCGGCGTTCCGATGCCGTGTTTTGTCCTTCATCTTCTTCCGTATCTGCGTCGTTGTTGTCGTCGTCGTCGTCGTTCTCCTCCTCCTCCTCTTCCTCCTCTTGGTCTCTCTCTGGTGCCGCGGCTTGGCTTGACCTCCCGCTCGCTCTCAAATTGACCACAATGAGGTCCTGATTGCCCATCCCGGCGCCGCCAGCCGGGCGTCGCTGCGCGTCTCCGCTCACCAGATTTGGCGCGCTTGCTACCATAGCACTTGGCGCGCAGCTGCTGCCAATCATGACGGGACTCGGATGGGTGGTGGTAGTGGTGGTGGTGGTGCTCCTTCCCGACAACGACTGCGATCGCGGTAGCCCCATCACCGGCACCCCGATGGCCGTGCCACCGTACATGATGCCCATTCCACAATGAGGCCGTTCAGCGGAGACGTAATTAACCCGCCGAGCGGAGCTGACAGACGTGGCAAGGTTAGCGGAGGCAGCGTGGGTGGAAGCGGCGGAGGAAGCCGCGGCAGTGGCAGCAGCCGCGCCCGCGCCGCACACTGCGGCGGCCGTGGCGTCGGCTGCGCACGCCGCGGAGGAGCCCCCCCCGCACATCTTCGCCGCCCACTCCGCGCGAGCCGCGCAGGACGACGACGGGACAACAGCGGAACCCGCCCAGTTGTCCCCCCCGCTGCTTGCCCCGCTGCTACTTCTTTCCAATTTCGGAAACACTTTGTTCGGAACATGATGGCCGAAGGTTCGGACGCTGGCAGCAAGAGAAGGAACGACAGCGACGCCGCCCGCTCCTCCTCCCCCCCCTCCTCCCCCCCTTCCTCCTCCTCCTCCTCCTCCTCCTCCTGTCCCACCTCCTCCATCATCTTCACACGGCGGAGGCCCTGGACCGAGCCTCGAGGGGAGGCACGGATACACAGGAGCGCCACGTGGGACGAAGCGGTGATGACTCCCCCCGCCAGCGCTGCCGCCAGCGGTAGGAGCCTCTACCTTGATGGATGACAAAGTCGTAGCCCCCCCCCCTCCCTTCCCCTTCGTCTTCATCGTCGCCGTCGCCGTCGGCGCCGGCGCGGGCACCGCACGCTCCACCTTAGCGCCCGGCGCCGCTGACGATGGCGACTGGCTACTGATTGGTGTTGATGAGGAGGGCAGACAGACCGGGACTCGGTGATGGCGCTGAGCCAGAGCATTGCAATTATGGATCTCATTGTCGCAACTGTCGCACAGGAACGCCACGTCAGCCGCACAGTACAGCGTTACTGCCGCCACGTGGCAAAAGTCACACAGCTTGCGCGGCTGTCTCTTATACACATCTAGATGTGTATAAGAGACAGGAGAGAGAGAGAGAGAGAGAGAGAGAGAGAGGGAGTGTGTCGAAAAGAGGAAGGACACAGGAGGCGAGTAGTAATCAGAAAATGTACTCTCTGTTAGCTATGCGGGCGCATATGACCAGAGTTCCGGTCCAAATTCCTTCCCTGCAAGTAGTACTAGCATGACTAGCTACGCGGATGCATCTGACCGACATTCCGGTCAAATTCCGTCCGTCCGCGCAGTACTACTACCCGTATCCTGATTATCCCATGAGCGTGGATGCTCTCCGCTAAACGGGAGCTCTTACCTACCAAAAATACGTTCTACCTCCCTCTCTCTCTCTCTCTCTCTCGCTCTCTCTCTCTCTCTCTCTCTCCTGTTCCAAGAAACATCCACAACCCCATTCAGCTGACGCACGCACGCACACACACACACAAGCGCAATTGCGTACGGGGAGATGTTTCGCTTCCTCCCTCTTCCTCTTCTCTTTCAGTACCATAAAACCCGCCCGCGTGTTGCTCACTAACAGCACTTATCCTAGTCAAACCCCCACCGCTTCGTGGCCCACTGGCCACGCATGCACTCTCAAACAGCCTGAAAATTTATGAAAATGCAGATTAAGACGACGCCTCAGAGAGCAGCTGTCCTCTCTCTCTCTCTCTCTCTCTCTCTCTCTCTCTCTCTCTCTCTCTCTCTCTCTCTCTCTCTCTCTCCGTGAATGTTTTTCGATGCTGTCCATTGGTTGACTTCACCGCTATCTCGCAGATCTTTTAGTGTCTGTCGCGCCGTCAACGAATATTCAAACGCTCTCTTCAGTCACCATTGGCTCCTCCGTCGTGCCCGTTTATCTACGTCAGGCGTTTAGCACTACGTCCTTTTCTCTGTCCAACTGCTTTGTGATTCTTCTGCTTGGCTCTATAACTTTACAGGTTGTTTTAAGCTGTCTACTCCTCTTCCGCACCGAGTAACCCTTCGACNGCGCACACACAGAGGGAGGTCGGTTAGTGGTCGAAGCTTGGAAGGTGGTGGCAGCTCTCATCAACGACAGCAAAAGACTTGGAGTTCTCTCTCTCTCTCAGAGGAGAGAAACGAACCGCAAAACAGCAAACAGACAAACTTCTTGCGTGCGAGTTCCGAATCAGCAACCCACGTGAAGACGATCCAAACTCGATCGAAAAGTGCACAAAAGTGAAAGCTGAAATGACAGAAACCGAGTACAAGTAAACAGGAGGGAGTCCGAGGGAGGCAAAGGTGACGCCTTTGCGTCGATCCCCAATCCCAAGCAAATGACAGCTCGCGGAAGGGCTCTGTTCAGGAAGCCTAGGAGCTTGGTGTTAGCTGTGCGATCAGTTGGCAGTTGAATGTCGGGCGACCACCACCATGGAAGCAGCGACCGATGAACAACAAGGGGTATTGTATGTAGCCTCTCCGCGACCGGTCGTCCAAGCCCACACACCCCTTCGCTGTCCACTAGCCCTATATCTGTACTACTCCCCCAGCCGCGGGCCGAAGGAACCCCCCGCAGAGGACAGGATTACGAGGGCAGGTAAGAACAGCAAAAAAAAAAAAAAAAAAAAAACAGAACAGCAAAGACACGACATAAATGGAAGTTTTGTTTATTTTTTCTCCTTTTTTTTTTTTTTTCTTTTCTTTTTTTAGATTTAGATCCAAATTAGTTCCAAATTAGAACAGAAAAGTCTTTTTTTTTTTTTTCCTTTTTTTTTCTTCTTCTTTTTTCTCGTTCTTTTTATGGAAGACAAACTTGGAGCTTCAGTCAAGTACCGAACCAGACCGAAGGCCAAGTCCCACTACCAGCATTGAGTTTCCTCAACGTCTGAGTGGTGTTTGTGGCTATGTGCGGTTGAGGAACCGTAACCCGATTTCTGCACATCTCCACAAACACGTTCAGGTTCAGGGTTGAGGAAACCCAACGCTGCTAATGGGACTTGGCCCCAAGGGACAAGTCCCACCTGGGGCGTTGATCTTCCAGGATCGACGGTCACAAATCGAGAATTTGGGTCAGTGGGACTTTTTTTTTTTTTTTTTCCCGAATGGCTATTCCGCTTCGGTAAGTGGCTCGGGAACAAAAAAAAAAAAAAAAAAAAAAAAAGTGGCTCGGGAACCGTCGCGGAATCCGTTTTCGTTTTTATTTTTTATTTTTTTTCCTTTTTTTCCCCGAGAGAAATACGAAATCGCTCGAAAAAAAAAAGAAGGACAAAACCCGTTTCGTTTTTTTCTTTTTTTCTTTTTTTTTTTGTGTGTGTGTGTGTGTGTTCTTGCGCCAGTCAAGCGGACGTCAGTCCGTGACAGGCGGGGGCAAGGTCCCACTTGGGCAAATCTCAGGAGATTTCGGCCGTCGATCTTTGCGATCTACGGTCAGTATCTCTTAATTCGTGCAAGTGGGACCTAGCCCCGCGTTGACGGACGCGAACTGCACTATTGTAGGGTTTTTTTTTTTTTTTTTTTTTTTTTTTCTTTGGCAGGCTGTGGGTCCTATTGTAGTTGTTGTTGTACGACTGCGTGGGTCTCGATCCCCCGACCGATGGTCAATAATCAGGGGAGTGGTCCCACCAGCAAAGAGGGTCGGATCGAATGCCTGAATCTGGACGAGTTTTATGAAGATGTGCAGGAAATCGAGATTGAACTGCTCTTCTGCATCTCTGCTTAAAACTCATCCAGATTCTGGGCGGTGGTCCCATTAGCAAAGAGCATCGGATTGAATGCCTGAATCTGGTGTGTTTGAAGACAGGAGCAGGAAATCGAGATAGAACTGCTTTTCTGTATCTCTGCAGAAAAGATAGCCAGATTCAGGATTTCTATCCTATCGCCTTCGCTAGTGGGACCACAGCCCTGGAGCTCGATCCTATCCTTTTTGCTAGTGGGACCTCGGCCCAGGGGCCAAGTCCCACAAGCAGCGTTGAGCTACCTTAACCCCTGAATCTGGACGACTTTGCGGACATGTGCAGAAATAGTATTGAGTATCCTGAACTGCACGTCTCTACAAACACGTCCAGATTCTGGCGTTCAGGTTGCTCAACGCTGCTAGTCGCACTTGGCCCCAGAAGTGATAAACGTTTGCGTGAAGAAGCAAGGCAAAAAAAAAAAAAAGAACAAGGCTTTCGGGTAAAAAAATAAAAATAAAAAATAAAATAAAATAAAAAAAGAACAAGGTAACGCTGACAGGCTTCCGGATGAAATCGATATCCGAAGGACGCCTTGTTGGTCCAATAAGCCCTCTCCGTAGTCTGTCGTCTTTTTTTCATCCTGTCGAATTTTTCCGACCAGGGCGGATCTCCATCCCTCCCTTTCCTCCCTCTCCTCCCTCTCCTCCCTCTCCTCTCTCTCCACCCTCTGCAGCTGCTCTGCCCCCCCACCTCCCCCACCTCCCCCGCACTCCCCCCCACCTGCCCCCCTCTTCCTCGCTCTGACTGGACCACGCTGGCAGTCTGGCACGATCCTGCCTTGCGTCGCTTCCAAAAAGTGCACGGATCAAAGCGCGCCGAGCCGCGGTCTATCGTCTGCTCCCCCCTCCTTTCCTTTTTTCTTTTTTCTTTTTTTCTTTTTTTTTTTTGGTTGAAAAAAACTACCCGAGCGGATGCTAGGAGTGCTGATAAGAGCAGACACTTCAAGCACCACCAGCAGAGAGGCTCCACCTATTGGTGGCGAGTAGGGCCCCTCCCTTTCGCCACCCAGGGGGCGGGGGGGGAGTGGGGGAGGGGAGGAGGGTAAGGAAATAAATAAAAATAAAAAACGGGGGTCCACTTGCCACAATTGGAACACCTACGTCTGGGTCTTAAACACCTCTGCTCCAATAGAACGCTAGTGCATGATGACCGTATTTGACCGACAACGTAGGCCAGGTGCATCAAGGATCCCTCTGCGTTAATACTCTCAACACGATGGCAGGAAGAATGGTGGCACATCCTCGACGACATCGACATCGGACACGATTTCACTTCACAGACATAAGCCCCGAATGATTCTGCCTACGGAGCGTGGCAATCCAGAATCTGGATGCAATCCAGACTATGTACCTGCTACACTGGAAGAAAAGATCGCACGCTTGGGACGTGCGTGCATATATACAGCTCCACACTCTAGGAGGTCCCTCTCTCTTTCTGGGAGTTATCGGGGTCTTGGGGGGGATGGAGAAAAAGCGACATCGCCAGCGGACCTTGGTGACCCTCCAAAACCTCTGTAATTTAAGGGGGCTTATAAGGTCACTGGAGGCCCTTCATCACCCAGTAAACCCCTGTAATTTGGTTTAAGGGGGCTTATAAGGTCGCTGGAGGGCCTTGATAACCCAGTAAACCCCCCCTGCAATTTTTTTTTTTTTTTTTTTTCCCCCCTGCAATTTCAAGAGGCATACAGGAAGGAAATAGGTGGCAACATGCATCCCCTTAAAGCACCAGTACATGGGCAACTGGGCCGCGGGCCTGACATCTCAAAATCTGGAAGCGCAGTGCAGAACGAAAATGCAACCGTCACCGCTGATCCAATTTATCAACGGCAGGCCCAGCATTTGACATTCGGGCCTCGTTTCCGGCCTCGTTTTCTTGTGGCATCAAGTTTCAGACTGCAAGGGTGGGGCCGCGTACCAGTGGGTTAAACTGCCACTGTCTGCCAGTACCTTTCCCAGCCAAAAAAGAAAGCCCGCTGATTAACACGGAGGATGGGGATGGCCTCGCAGCGCGGTTAGATTCGTCCCGAATTGTTGCGTGCAGGGCCCGCGGCCAACATACGGGAAAGGTAGCTATGCTTGCAGGGGTTTCCTATATAGCCTTAGTAGTAGTGGCAGGAAGATAGTGGAAGGTGAAATTGAGAGAATAATATAGCCTAGTGAGAAATGAACAAAAAAAAAAAAAGGCCTTTTATGTTTGAAAGGACAAATGCAAAGAACAGACCCAAATAAACGAGGGAAGGGGAAACTACAAAGGAGTCACAAAAAGGAGTTATAATTGCACTACGGGCCAAGATACAGTTTCGAATTGCAGTTTGGGAAATGTATGCAACCCAGCTTTCTGGCCAGGGAAGGGCGCTCCAATTGCAATTGCAAACTGTATCTTGCCTCATAGCGCAATTATAACTCTTTTTTTGTGTGTGACTCTACTGAAGTTGCCCCGGCAGATTGCCAGCACCAGCCTGGGGCCAAGTCCCACTAGCAGCGTTGAGCTACCTCAACGCCTGAATGTGGACGCTTTTGCAGAGATGTGCAGAAATAGTGTTTAGTTTCCTGAACTGCACGTCTCCACAAACACGTCCAGATTCAGGCGTTGAGGTAGCTCAACGCTGCGAGTGGGACTTGGCCCCTGAGGGCTGAGCAGGAACCCAACTCAGCCTTGGTTGAAGCATATGCTCGAATGAGCCCTGTTGTGTGGGTACTTCGGGTGTTAGACATGTGACGCACCAACTTCTGTGCATGAGCGAGTCTCTGAGCCCCTTCCTTTTGTTAGTATCCGCTGAGTAACTGGGGGCGATCTAGTCCAGTTCCAGCTCCTCTACCAAATCCAGATTGCATGCTCGACGAACGGGGTGGTGGGCTCAGCATATTCCGAGTGTTTTTTTTTCGGCCTTTCTCCTCTGAGGGCCTCGTCCATGGTAGTCCCCGATACCTGGACACGCAGGCCAATCATAACCCGTCGCTCCTGCAGTAGTCGAATTTTTTTTTCTGTCTTTCTGTACTTCTATGTAGGATTTGTGTGCGCCTCTGTGAGCCCGCTTGGGATTTCTGTTTGCTCAGATTTTCTTGAATCCGAAAGTCGGGGTTGCCTGTTGGGATACTAGGCAACAAATCCTTTCCTTTTTGTGCAAATGTGAAAGCCCTATGCAATTTTTGTTAATGTATTAGGAATAGGTGTAGGAATTCGCATGTGCACGAAATATTTTTTCTGAACCTTTTAGTTTGAATTCGGCTTTAGGCATTAGGTACGACGTGTAAGAGGTCTGGTGCCTTTTTTATTTGCCGCGGGTACATCTACCTGCGCCGCGTTTCTCGCAAAGCAATCTTTCCTCACTTCCCCAATCTTGTATTTTCTCCCTTCTCTTCACGCTTTTCTTCCTCCTCACTTTCATTGAATTTTGGTATTCCTATGCCTTGTTGTTCGTAACCTCCCTTCCCACCTTCGTCTTC